GTTTATGCATATCGAGATATATACTTGCAACGGACTTTTCATCAACAGCAACTATGGCTGTGTGTTTAAGAACATTCGAGAGGAACGTTACTCCCGACCAGTGTTGTAGAAAACCATGTTATGCCTCGTTGATTAGACATTCAAAGAATACGAAACCTCTCATCCCATGTTAACCATTTGTTGTTGTTCCAGTCAGATCGAGTCTGATATAACAAGTGGCAACCAGTATGTTGGTCTCTTGTCAAGGGCACTCGACAGTTTAGATTCATCCATCTTCTCCCTTGTGCTGAACGCCTACGTACATCCCAAGTTGAATACGCTATTCAGACTTGGAAACCCTGATTAAAACGCACACTCGTTGTGCTCGAAAAACGCCGTGCAACGAAGATTGACGATAGTTTGCGCCACCTTCCATATCAGAACGACTACAGAGACGCGGATTGCTTAGTGGACGCTATTGGAAAACCTCAATGGTAGACCGAATACTGAGTGATCGCAGTGATGTATAATGACACGTTTGGAAAACCGGAACTGCTTCAAATTAAGCCAGCATTACAATCGTTAGGCTCTCCACGATTTTTCGTCTCCCTCCGGATTAGCGAGCCCTGAAAAGCCCTTACGAATTCAGTTGTTTATGCACCTACGTCGTACATGTTCAAAAGACGTTATGATATGGAACTCGTTTCACTAAACTCTTATCTGAACGGATGCTCTGCAAGGTATTTATGTGAACTAACGGCTTTGGAATTAGAATCCACGATGATGACGCAACTTGCTGAAGGCGGGTGGGAAATCCCAACTATCTTTACCTATAACGTGGTAAACAATGTCATTTACCGTTACTTTGCACATTATCTTGCCATTTTAACAGTCATGGTGGATTTGGCTCAAGCGCTTATATGTCATGCATCCAGTATACACCTTGTAAATGTAGACCGTGCGTTTCGACCATGCGTTCTCAACATTGTCTCTTAGCGGTTCCATTATTCCTCACCTTGTCTGGTTGCTGTGTTCTCGACTTTTCTCCACCTCGATAGCCCGTTAAGGATTCATGCTAACCACTAAGTTGGTGGTCTGAGTGTTCGCTGAGCTCGGCAGCTTGACTGCAAACGTTTCGTCACCACTCTAGGTGACATCGTCAGTGCGCGTTTATTTAGCAGAGCGGCACCTACGAAGCGTCAGTTAGTGTGAGTGATCGATCTCCTAGCCGCTAGTCGGTTGGGATTGTTCGACGAGCACATGACCATCGAAATCGATCCCTGATTCTCACCTCGTAGTGTATGCACGCGTGACACTTTGGTTGTCGTCGTTTGGTGCAGTTGTCTGGCGTTCTGTTCCGTTAGATTTAATCTACTAATTCGGTGATCTTTCATCCGTAGCGCTGTATATACAGCATCTATTTCAACGCGTCGGTTTATTAAATTGTCGGTAGAATACCATGCTTCCAAGAACTCGCTAGCTTGCCTCGAGTTTCCACGGCCTAGGATCTTAACGTTCTATAGGATGAAGTGGTGGCCTTCTTGATCTTCATGCATGGAAACCAGTGAATGCGGGTCCTGTCTCCGTATGGCCATTATGTGTTCGCTGATCCGTGTAGAAAGTTTCCTTCCAGTTTGCCCGATATAGTGTTTGTCACACACTTTGCAGTTAATTTTGTGGATGACATCATTCTGGCTGCCTTGTTTGACTTTGTCCTTCTGTCTTGAAAGCAATCTTCGCAAAGTACCAGTTGGTTTGTGGGCTACCAAGATTCTACGTAGTCGTAGCAAACTTGATGTTAGTTCAGATACATTCTTGATCCAAGGAAACGCTATCCGTTTATCTATGTTTTCCTGCTGTTGTTGATGTACTCACTACTTTAGGCTTCTTCTGATGAGGTTTCTTGGATACCCGTTATTTTGCGATACCCGGTATAGATGGTTCTCTTCCTTATTTTTCAATTCTGTAGTGCTACATTGTGTTTCGGCAGTAGTCCTGCCGAGCTCAGCGAACACTCGGACAGCCAACTGAACAACCTGAGCTACCAACACTTGCTTCTATATCGTAACCATTAAGTGTTTTGTAACAATGTTGCAACCTCATCTTTTGACTACCTCTTGTTTCGTTCTGACCTTGTACAACTGTATCGGAAGCCGTACTGCCATGGATGCAGTTTACACTGACCATGGGCACCTCAACTCAGCGATCTGTTCTAGTGCAGTGTTTTCATTCTCATGCTGAGAAACCGTCTCAATACTTTACAGATAGGCTCTGGCCTTCCGCATACATCATAAGTGAGCTGAAGTAAACAATACTCGAATGACCGCGTTCTGTTGTCTGGAGAACGACATTAGTTATGGCCCTCCTCTGCGTGCTGGTGATCACGTTTGTCTACGCTTCTGTTGTACTCGGTCTAGACACACAGTATTCTAGTAATGTCCTGGGGTACGATTTGAATGACGTAGTTTAATTTCGTTGTTGCAAACATTTGGCCAATTATTCCATAGCCTGCCCTGCTCTGGGCACTGTACACTGAACCTTTTCCTTGAAACGCAAAAAACCCGAATAACGGAGACCCAAACCACGTACCGAGGAACACAAAGTGAGTGGAAGGTCATGCAAAACCAAACATCCCGTTGAAACTCTGCATCCCTAGCACATTATGTGGCACTAAGATGTTGAAAGTTGCATGGAAGAACCGATATACCATACTTCCAGTTAAACTAGGTCTCTTTGAATTTTAGAAACAAGCGACAAATACGGAGACTTGGTGATATACACATTTTTATATTCTCTGCAGACAGAAAAGGTCTCCCATACCTTATTGCAGGAATAATTGTTTGACTAAAACAAGTACGGAAGAGGACCGAGTAAAATACCTTATAACACGTCACCAGTAGTATTTTTATCCGACAGATACTCCCCAATCTTGAGTCTCTAATTCCAACCACTGCGGTGAGCCTTTAACTAGAAGTTTAAGGAGCATGTGATACCATTAGAACAGAGTTTATGTATAAGCGCTATATGTGTAACTGTCGAAGACCATTTGAACTTCTAAGGGAACTATACCACACGCATACTGGAATCAATAGATTTCGTTAACTGATCAAAAAATATCTAGTCAGTAAAAGCACTAAAGCGCTTTTGGAGAAATCCTCACTGGAAAGGTGAAGCCAGATTGCTTGCTGTTAACGGTTCGATGATTTCATTATGATTTCATTTTTAATGAGGCGCTCCATAGTTTTTGAGATTAGAGCATCGTGGTTTGTGGGCCGATAATGGTTGATGGCATGTCTGGGCCTGGGTTATGGCTAGTTGTGCCTGTTGTAACTTTCCCATGATCTAAAAAAACCTAGGTGTCACTGAAGGAGTAAACAGGTTTACATTAAGCAGCAGATGTCATCCCCACTGCACTTTTGTAGAACTGAAGGAACTTCGTCGAAACCTGGGTGAAACTTAAATTTTAATGCTCTAATCTGACTGTTTGTAGCACAGTTGTCGAAATCCAACTTAGATATACTTGGCCCAGAATAGTGTGGGGTAATCCAATTGTTTTTTGGACACAAAAGCCAAATACCGTTTACCTGAAAACTCGGTACTCTGGGTATGCCAGTTTCTGGTCTTCATAAATGACCCCACGAGATCGTACTCTTCCAGTTGTCTACTATTCGCCGATGATCTAGATATCGCGTGCCGCCATTACAATGGAAAATTACATAGCCCTATAAACTGCTCTGGCTAAAGCGTACACATAGTCCACGAGCACATGCTCCAGTCTACGCGACCAAGTGCCATGCACTGAGCACACTCCATTAGAATACTCCCAACTACCTGCTTGGTCCACAATTTCTACAGCGGCCTTCTCATAATTACGATGTTGGCCTGGTGGTGCAAAATGACCTGATTTGTCCTAAGCAGATTGACAAGACATTACAGAAAGCAAATCAACACTTCGGCCTCTTTCGCAGAGCATTCGTGAAGTTCGGCACTTCAATGTTTCCGCAAAGGCTTGGCGCATCCGTGAGGCCGCACGTGGAGGACTCTATGCAAGCGCAGCATACTTGGCAGAAGTATCACCTTACCGCGCTCGATACAGCACTATGCAGCTCGAGGAAGAACCTCTGAGGCTTGTCCATACTTCTATACTCACTCATGCTAAAAACTCTAGAAGTTCATGGCGGACATTATAGGCGTCTACGGGGTGATCTCATGATAAAGTATCAGAACCGAGAAAACCCCAGCCACACTTGCCACCATCTTTTGAAAAAGTCAAAACACATCTCTAAGGGGTCATCAGCTATACCTGGTCACGGTGCACAGCTGAGGGGAATATTAGCGAAAGGTTTTACCCGTTTGAGCACGTGTAATTCATGTCCCTGTCTTATCACTGTTCAAAAACAACTTGACGACACTGATGCTTTCAGACTGTATGATATATTCCGTGACTATTAACTGGCCGCATTAGTGCAAAACAGACAGTGAGTTGTGTAGACGTTCCTTACAATCCGGGCAGGAACAGTCCCATATGTGGCACTACAAACCGCTTGGGGAGTCATGTGTCTTGCGCCTACTTTTATCGACCAGATTTCCATAGCTTAAAACGTTCATCCTAATCATCATACGGGACTTACCAAAAAACCGATTTTTACCCCTGTAAACAATTACTCCACTGATAAACTGATTATTATCACCATATTTTCTTGTGTCCTATGGCCAAAAGGTTAAACTGTTAGTCGTCCCGGAGAGACGGCGTGCTTCAGATACCGAACTCAAACCTTCAGTTCGGCTTTCTGACAATTCATATTTTCAATTTTACTGCCATTTATACGTACCAAAGAACGTCGGCGATATTGCTATCTCTGAAAAGGTAATGTTTCGTGTTTGCCATATTTTATGCGCGTTTTCGTTTCTGTGAGTTTCCATTATTTTCCTCGCTTATTTGCTTTCGAGTTTCTGAACTCATGAACGTTTAAGACGATCAAAACTTGTTCATCTGTATTCTTCACCCACCGCCATACCAGACTTGCATGGTGAATACAATGTCAGTGAAGAAACCGCACCTTCTTGGGAGACGATCTATCGAAAGTACACTGCCCAGGGGGTCAGTCGAACAGGAAGCGACAACTTGTACTCAGTAAGCTGCAACAGCGGAAGCAACACTTCACAGCATCCTCCGCCTATGTGGTCCCCGGCGGAATGTCAGCCTGAGCAAACAGTGGCTATCGTTATCCCGTATCGAAATCGTGAGATGCACTTACGGTCGCTTGTAGATCACATCACTCCGATACTACGCCGCCAGCTCACCAAGTACACCATGTTTGTAGTTGAACAGGTAAATTGAGCGGAACGTACCCCATCTATACACAATATCATTGCACATTGGTACACTAAATCGACGCTTTAAATCTTGCCTAGTTAATTTAATTACCGTTCCTTTCTGAGATTCCATAGTCAAATTGAAGCTAAAATAAAAAGGATTCGATTATTCCAACGGACACTTTTCTTCTCTTCAATCGCATCCTCAACACTCGACATGGCTTGAACTTTTGGTCCACGTATTGCTCCTTCAGGGTCACAGTATACATGTATCGCTTTCTTGCGCGCTGGGTCAACGATTTTCTATCCAGAACATATATTCCCACGTCCATCACTCATTATATTTAGACGATAGGATGTGACGCACACAAATCCGTAGCAAGAGAAATATTAACATGACGCCACATGCTGAGCCTCTTTTCTTGTACTACCATAACTAACAATAGTTGGATTGATCACCTCGCTGGGATTCGTCGGAAACACCATATTTTGTAGCAAGGCAATCTGTCTGTCCGGCAGAAATGTGGGCCATCATGCTCTCTATGCTGCTGACATTTGTACTATATGAGTCCTGCGTACTTGAAGGCATAGTTTTTCCATCTAACGGATCCCGCTTTTTCGATTAATTTAGCACCGAATAATGAAACCATTGTATTGTCTTACATTTCCAAGTGTTCCCGGTGGACCTAACAACTACTATCTCATCAGATAGTGATTGGTTGCATTTCTCTCAATGGGTTGAGAACCGATATGTTGCGGGGGAATCGGACGTGAATCCCGAGGCAAACCTAGTATTCGGTTTACATGCCTACTGCACTAATGTGACTCCGAGGACCGGTAGAAACTATGCAACCAATAGCAACCTCAAAACATTTCACTTGGAAAATCATTATACGGTAAATTAGGACTTTGGGAATAGCAAAATTTAATACGGTCAATTCAGTATGACACGCATATAATTAAGTCAGACAGAAACGAATAGAGTAATGTTGAGTCTGGAGTAATATGAATATAGCCCCACAAAAGTTACCGTAATACAATGCTGAAGTCATCGTCATGGGTATTATTCACTGAAACCCAGACTGTTGTCTTAGGTTGCAAGCTCATCTAAGTGACCACAATTTTAGGTCCAAATCCAGACTCCTTTCTTTCAATGCATCATGCCGTTTTGCTATTCTTTTTCCACTATACAGAGGAGCCCGATACGTGCAGCTCCTTAACATGTGCCTCAAGCTGCTTCTTGACGGCGATGCTACGCTGGTGTTGTATCTAGGTGTGACACTGAACCGTAATCCATCTTGGACTTTTCATGTGAATGAAACTTACACAAAAGTACGAAGGTTGTCATAATACGCCTCTCGTCTAAGAGCCACAACATTCCCTCTTGAATCGATCCTTTTGTTTGTCAGTGCTTGTGTTCTTCTGCACTGGACGTACTGCTCCTTCTTGACTTTTTCTGATCATCTGGGTAGGCACTTTAAGTTTATTGTCAGGTCATTACGGCAAGTCTCCTGAGGTAGCAGCCTTCTAATATCTACTTTGTCAAGACAATTCTTGTAGGAAATTGGTAGTTAAGACACTGGCCGATTCAAGTCATCCGCTTTATAACGCTTGGTCTGTGTGTCTGTCAACCTTAACTACTAGGCAGAAGTGCAACCTGATGTATGCTTGCACACAGGCCTACCACTTTTCAGTCATCTCGTACCTTCTGTGTTTTCTGAGAGAACCTAACTTGGCGCCTCGCAGTACGATGGCGTTCTTGTCAATTTTTTATAAAGCCACTTTTATGCTACTATTCTGCACTTACTGTACAGTTTGGTACATTGCTGGAATCGTGTGTGTTGTACTTGAAGATTCATCTGCCAGTGATCTATAAAACATTTTATTGACTTGACTTGATTATCTGAAATAGTGCTACGCTTTAGAAAATCTCAGATAAACAACCACGTAAATGTCCTATTCCTTCACTCCGTCACTCCGGGATGTCAACCCCTTCCTTCGCTAGACAGTTTTTCGGTATGGATCTATCATCCTCCTACTCGCACCACTCAATTCATTCCGTGAACGCGGATAGAAAGCACCAGGTAACGTCATCCTTCTTGGCTTAAGGAAGTGCGCTTACTGTGCGAGATGCAAGCGGTGGCACATCAAGGAACTCTTTAGATCACCCTGTTCGAGTATCTCGCTCTTTTACTCAATCAGAGCTATGGGCAGAAGGACACGTAACTAACTTTCCCCATTTGATGATATCCCGTACCTGTGTGCAACTCCGAAAATCCACTTTCGAACGAATTCATGAGGAAGACCAAACATAACCATTGTGTGCTGAATGTGACTTGATGTTTCGATCACGAGCAATCTCGGTGTTTGGGTGATTCTCCGAACTAGGCGTTTTCATTGCCAACTTTTGTCTGTAGTCGAGGTGACATCGTTAATGTACAAGTGGTTAGGTTGCGGATGTTGATGGGAGCCAGAACCGGTGATGGATATCGTCAGGCTATTACTCTGTACTGTACATAGTCAGCTAGTGTTGAAAGCCTCACTTTGTCTTGATCGGCTATCCTTCATTCTACTCAACGGTACTTGGGGGATTACCATTGGCAGTACGAATACTGCTGCAGTGTTTGGGATTTCTGAAGTTCGTCTGATGCAAACATATGAAATTAGTTGCCTGGGTTTACAGAGAATGCTCTGTTGATTCTACGCTCGCTGAATTGCTGTATCCGCACCTTCGGTTTTCAGTTCACATGAGCCACTTCTTTGTGGGTGGTGGGTACACGGGTCCGTGTCAATGCGCATGTGAAATTTCAGTGGTATTCATCACAGACAAGTTCGCAGGCGTCCCGCATGAGAATTGGGGTCGAATACAGGCAGGAGTGATTGATAGCCAGAGACGATAGAAACATTGCAGTGCTTCCTTTATGTACCATAGCACAAGAAAGCTGTTCTCATATTTGCTCCATGTGCACTCAGGTAAAGCGGTCCGAAACAGCACTTAGAAAAGGTGAACCTAATTCCACCTTAAGGTCACTTAATCCCGATTGTCGTGGTTGACTCCCTTGACCGGCTTTCTGAATGATTCCCGCCATCCATTCGATCTATCCAATATCCCCACTCAGTCCTGTATTTTGACCGCATCCACCTAACATTTGTTTACTGTTTATTTTTCAAACTTAATCATTTAAAATATCTGCCTTTCCTTTGATTACCACCGAATCGGAACCCGGATTGCGCCTATCCACATTTTAGGTGTTAGCATTTACCTCCAAGTTGATTGGTTGCATAATGGCACACTAAGCGAATTCTGAACAGAAATAGTTCGATAACCCCTAATTTCTGTTCTTGCGCCATTGGAAGTTTGGTGTTAAGTCTACAGTTCGCCTTTCGAAAGGAAACTTTCTGTCTAAGGTGCTTGCCAAAATGCAGTTGGTTGCTCGATGGGATTCAATGCGACCGGCCCCTTATTCGTTTTAATCTATAAAATGGTAATCAATACCTTACAGGCATCGATCTAACTCGACTGCTACTATAACACGCCAACCGAAATTGTTTAGTTTACAGTGTTTACCACCTATAAGATTGCTTCCTTGTGTAAACAGTATATGTATATATAAGGGAAAACCTGATCTTGAATTCGGAATTACCGCTCCAAACAACAATTATACAGTTTGAGTATCTCGGAAAAAACACGTCTCAGTTCATCGTTCTTGATAGATGGACTAAAGCAGGCTAATTAATACACATCTACCAGTTAGATGTCCTGACGTTAAACTTCGTCTTATAAACACAGACTCCCTTTTCCGTATTCTAAGTGGCCTATCGTATTGTGAGTGATGGTTTTATCTCTGTCCATTTGGATCTATTATGCTCAATACGAGTTCCAACCATTCACCAGTCCTTTACTGGCTGTACGGCCGCACATTGTCTCGCCTCTCGCTTCACTCATTATGACCATTCCAGTTCTCCACGCATAAGTCGCGAGAAGTTACTGGGCAACAATGTAGCTTCGGAAGGAACAAGCATAGTAGAATGTCTGACACAGGCCATTCCTCCGAAGTTCACTGCAAGCCAACTCCACAGCACCGAATGTTCTAGTAATAAAGTGGCTACTGCAAACACTGCCATTATCTAAATCATCCAAGCTTTGCCGAACACTTCCCCCAGCCCAGTTATAACAATTTCCCCCAAGACCACTCCCTTCCACAAGGCTTTGCCGAAACCCGGGAAATATGCAAATACCTGTAGCCGTTGGGTTGTTGTTGCATCCAAAACAGCTCCAAAGTAAGACATTGCTGTTTCTAGTGTTACACCCATAACTAATGTGAAAGACAGTTCTGCACTGATGCAGCGCAAAACCTTCGGCCTCCCAGCTATCGTCCGCACTCCCAGGAAAGACATTCAGAAACAATCCAATGAGCTATCTATAATATACACCAACGTTCCGGAGTCAAGTTGGAATTCTTTGAAGGCGAAACAGCTGGATGACCTGAACTAATAGAACACCATAATTAACCCCCTCAGTATTCTGACTCAACTCTACAACATGACGGGGTGCACCCGCCACCCGAATTTCAATCGCAATGGCGAAAGCAGGCTTCTTCGACTTGTGCTGAACTCTGTCAATGTTGTGGAAGCAGAGTTGCTTTCGAATGCGCATCACTAGATCGAAGGCGGCTTGGTCCGCTTCTTTCCATACGTTGCATGGGGTGAGCGCAAGCGAGCTAGGTGAAGCTTAGAATAGTTCCAACTACACACCGCAGACAGAATTGTTTTTGTCCACCATGTACTATAGTCTCATGAGCACGATGAATGCAATGGAAATGCTCCCGACCAGGAGTAGTGGAGCTGTTTTCGTGAGACCGTGCATTTGAATGACGTTGTAGCTACTTCACCTTCCAGGCTGCCAAGAAAGCTACAAAGCGTGCTGCCCAAGGATTATTAAGGTGGCATTACAAACAAGGCAGATGACATTTACCTTCCTGGAACGCTGCTATTCACTTCGGAACAGCTTGTCAA